AGGTAAGTACACGGCAAGCCAACAAGGTGCAAAACAACAAAACTAACGCTAGAAACTCCAAGGCTGATACACTGACAAACATACTGTTCATGGCTAACGATCCGGCAGGGAATGGATGTCAGGTCAGGGCTTAAGAAGGGTGATGATCAGGACCAGGTGTGCAGACCGCTGATGAGATGCAGGTGCGGTTAATCGGGAGATCTCCTGCCTAGCAACATCGCCCGGCAACCAGGCCGGGAGCGTTCACGAACCCTCAGGAAACTGGAGATTCCGAGTAGAAAAATGGCAACACAGGCAGGAACCGACTCAGGATGCAGGGTTCATGACATAATTTGTAAACCAAAAATACTTTAGACTATGTAGCTTATGTTTCCCCCCCCCCCCCCCCCCCCCCCCCCCCCCCCCAATTAATTAATTAATCAATTAACTAATCAATTAATCAACTAATTTATCAATATATCTATTTATTTTTATTAATTTATTAATGTATTTATTTATTTTTATTTTATTTTATTTTACCAAATTATTGATTAGTGGCAATCTTACCACATCCGATCAGGAAAAGTAAATGAAAGTAGTCAACTTCAGAGCAATACAAAAAAGAAAGACCTGTAATCCAGCAACACTACAGCACTCACAAACCAATTGCTTAATAAGCACCCAATCACCTTAATTTTACAGAATAATCTCAGTGCTGGATTTCCAACACAACTCTAATCAAACCAACTCATGCACAAAAAACTCCAATATGCAATTCTTAATTACATCAATTGATCAGTCTGTTGCCAAGTCCCTGTCAAATTGTCACAACATGGGAAGGTAAGTTTTGTGAACAGAACAGTACTAGCCTTGATTGGACTGGATCCGTTGCAGCACACACTGTCGCGTGATGCACTCGTCAGCACCTCCTCTCTCTCTCTGTCTCCTCCTTCTCGTCTCTCATATCACAGGAGAACAAAGGAACAGACAAGAATTTAGTATTTTATGCACTCACTGGGTTATTTCAACCATACAATACCCTTTTAGAAATACCTATGTTCACACTCGCGCTAAGAAATAAGCAAACAGCTTAACTCAGGAATATTATAAATAGCTCAATAACATTTTTTTTTTTTTTTTTTTTTTTTTTTTTTTTTTAAATCCGTCAACATATCTCTCATTTATATATTCAATAGATCTCAATCAAATAGTTTCATCGTTAAGCAACAGCCGATTTAACAAACAGAATACTTTATTAGTGTGTAAGTCTCCCCCTCCTTCTCTTTCAGCTCTGAGTCTGCGTCTCCCAGCAGCTCAGTGCAGGCAGGGGAGTGGCATATTTGCTCTACGTAACTCTAAACTCATAAAATCCCACACATGCGTAGTTCATTCACCAGTGCGATTTCAGAGTGAGAGGAGCTCCCAAGCAGCTCTCTCCAAGCTAAACAACAGAAAGTAGACAGACCAGCTGTCCCTCCGTTATTTCCCCCAACACAGACAAACAGTAACACTTAACAGAACTCACAAACCAACACAGAACATAGAACACAAATCCTACTTCGAAGTTTCTTATCTTTACTTATCCTAATCTGCAGATGTATAGTTATTTTCTTATCCATTACAAAACATCTCTATACACTCTTAAAATCCTCCCTGTAGGCTCCTAGTCTTTTAACAGTTTTTAAACGTTCTCTTTTTATAGATTTACATTTACATTTTAGTCATTTAGCAGACGCTCTTATCCAGAGCGACTTACAGTTAGTGAGTGCATACATAATATATATATATTTTTTCATACCCCCCGTGGGAATCGAACCCACAACCCCATGCTCTACCAACTGAGCTACATCCCTGCCGGCCATTCCCTCCCCTACCCTGGACGACACTGGGCCAATTGTGTGCCGCTCCATGGGTCTCCCGGTCGCGACCGGCTACGACAGAGCCTGGATTTGAACCAGGGACTCATAAGATTATATTTCCTTACAAAAAACTAAAACCCCTGTTGTCATAGCCTTAGTCGACACACTGCAGAGACCTCCCCTTTTTTTTCTCACACACGCACAGGCTCTCTTTCACACACACACACAATTCAAGAGGAATGTATCCGTTCCTACGGTCCTCTAAAGCATGCTACCGTCGTTCCTTATTTCTCATAGTTCCTTCCTAAATTTATGCTACCTTGAGTTTGCAGATATTCAAATGAGAGGTTACATCGAACATATACCTTGTCAACTATAAGTTGAGGGGTAACTTGCAACCGAATGTATCTACCACAAATTCCAGTCCCCGGAACTGACCTTAAAAATCAACCTAGTGAGTTTTCAGGATTTTCGGCCCATCCTAATGATCGCCTCGTTTGAGGGCTTCCATAGATCAACAACGTCCTAATTAGTATACATTGTCCTTAGTTCCTGGCCTTATTCCTTCATTCTATTCTATTAAAATTTTATTTAAGCCAAATATCCCTGTGCCAAGTGTTATCAATTCCTATAGACACTCCCCCCTGTTTGCGTTGCTTTCAACGCAAACCAATTTAGAAATTTAGAACGGATTCTCATCACACAGCAAATAACAGCAAAGCGCACACATAAGTCCTTTGACAGTGCAGTCTTTCAACGCACACACACACACAAGCACACGAACTGACCAGCGCCCAAAGTTTGTGAGAAAGCTCACCGTATCTGCATGCCTCTTGAGCGGGAGTCTGCTCGGCGCCCATGAATGTAACGCTTAGAAAAGACGCAACACGTCCCAAATTCCTCGTCGCCATTAATGTAGTGTCGAGATAACGATGCTGAGATGCTGTGATGACAAGAAATCCGCTGACACTGTCCTTGATTATAATAGTTTTATTACATCAAAGATTTCAGCGTCAATTTACAGATTTCTGCAGACATCTGGAGAACAACTGACCCAATCTCTAATATGTTGTTCCTCCCCGTCCTTTGTCCCAACCATAGCATTTATAATCTGTAACATGATATGGGTGGTTTCCCCATAAACCAATCCCAGGACGCCACATAACAGACTTCCTCTGTTTTAGGGTGCCCCTATAGTAATGCTTTCCAAGCTGAGTCAACTTCCTCTAACACACCATTTGCAAACATCAGCAAAGTCATAAACTGTTTAGACACTACACTAGCTAAACAAATGACACCTGCATCTCTAGCTGTGTATAGCCACGAATATGAGGGGAAAAAGTCAGTCAATCACCTGCTCCCCCAATGACATGACATCCTCCTAGCAGCTAGCTAGCTATCTAGCTAACGTTAGGCTCTGTGTTTTTAGCTTGATACGCTAACCTATTAGCCACATTATAACTGATTTGTGATCATTGAGCTTGCTAGTTTGATTGTATTGACATTCCTAGCGTTAGTTACATTAGTCTGTTTTTGTCCAAAATATTGAGTCATTTAAACTGAAATAGTGCATCCCGAATGGAGGCAGCATTCAATGTACCAGGCCAGCTGTGATTTACATTTACATTTGAGTCATTTAGCAGATGCTCTTATCCAGAGCGACTTACAGTTAGTGAGTGCATACATTTTTTCATACTGGCCCCCCGTGGGAATCAAACCCACAACCCTGGCGTTGCAAGCACCATGCTCTACCAACTGAGCTACACGGGGCCCTGATTTTCAACCTGATAACAATATTATTTGGACTACCAAGAAATGTATTGGTGAATTATATTAATCATGCATTGAACTGCATTAATCTATTCTGCCACCAATGCATTAGTGTACGTAATGGAATGTTGAGTCAAATAGAACCTATTCTTAAAACCTCTTATACAGCTGGTTTTGTAGCGAAAACTGGGAATTTGACATTTTTGACTGATATTATGATTGTCTGTTTCATATCTGCAATGTAGTTCAAATGCTATCAGTTTCACTTTAAGGGTGCCAATAATTATGGACCCCACTGTACATTAGAACCACAGTGTTGTCAATTACAGAGCCTCTAAAAATAATGAATGGCAGGTACTAACCTCATGTTCCAGGGTCATATTATAATTGCCAGGTAAATAAATGATCTCCCTAAAGGGGACGATTGTATAAGTGTTGCTAGAGCCCATGCTGATGAGAGAGCGAGCAGCAACCTTCCTCCCACCCGGACTTCAATAAAGCAGGATTTATCTGCCAGCTGCTTGTTTCACAGCTCTGTGTTAATTTGTCCTTGACCAGAGAGTCATTACATTGAAAGTCGGTAAGATTAAGAGTATTTGAATTATATACTGTTGAGAGGAGTGCAGAGAAAGCTCATTACTGTTGTTGAAATAGTGCATTTGACTCTTTTTCCACCCTTTTTTAAAGCAGAGGTGTCAGCTAATTTTGTTGGTAAAACATCTGTCGGACTTGATAGTATGGACTGAAGTATATTTTAATGCAGCTTTGTGATATCAATATACTGTAAATTAGTAGAAACTTTGCATATAAATAAAATACTGTATATACATTGAGTATACCAAACACTAGGAACACCTTTCTAATATTGAGTGGCACCCCACCTCTACAAGGTGTCGGATGCTGGCCCATGTTGACTCCAATGCTTCCCACAGTTGTATCAAGTTGGTTGGATGTCATTGGGTGGTGGGCCATTCTTGATACACACGGGATACTGTTGAGAGTGAAAAACCCAGCAGCATTGCAGTTCTTGACACAAACCGATGCGCCTGGCACCTACTACCATACCAAACATGTTGTCTTCCCCATTCACCCTCTGAATGGCACACATACACAATCCATGTCTCAATTGTCTCAAGGCTTAAAAATCCTTCCTTACCCTGTCTCCTCCCCTTCATCTACACTGATTTAAGTGGATTTAACAAGTGACATCAATAAGGGATCTTAGCTATCACCTGGATTCACCTGGTCAGTCTATGTCATGGAAAGAGCAGGTGTTCTTAATGTTTGTTACACTCAGTATTTATTTGGTAAAAGGTGGAACATGTTTCACAATGTCTGATCATGTCTCTTGGACTGCTTGCTAAATATGCACCGTATGTTTTGTCTCTTTAGACCACCACTCTGATTGGCCTGTTGAAGACAGCCCGACTGCTGCGATTGGTGCGTGTGGCCAGGAAACTGGATCGTTACTCTGAGTATGGAGCTGCTGTGCTAATGCTACTCATGTGCATCTTTGCACTTATTGCTCACTGGCTAGCCTGCATATGGTACGCCATTGGCAATGTGGAGAAGCCTTACCTGGAGCACAAGATTGGTTGGCTCGACAATCTGGGGGTGTCCATTGGCAAGAGGTATAACTACAGTGACCCTAGCTCTGGGCCCTCCATCAAGGACAAATATGTCACAGCACTTTACTTCACGTTCAGCAGTCTAACCAGCGTGGGCTTTGGAAATGTCTCCCCAAATACCAACTCAGAAAAGATCTTCTCCATCTGTGTCATGCTGATAGGCTGTGAGTCTGAACTATTCATTGTGTAACTTTTGTCCTTAAATTTATGAGATTCATTGTACAAATCAATGCCTATTAAGAAAACACAAAATAATTGTGACTTACCCCTGCCTTTACATATGTCTGTGTTGTGCAGCCCTCATGTATGCCAGCATCTTCGGTAATGTCTCAGCCATCATCCAGCGGCTGTACTCTGGCACTGCAAGGTACCACACCCAGATGCTCCGGGTTCGAGAGTTCATCCGCTTCCATCAGATCCCCAACCCGCTAAAGCAGCGGCTGGAGGAGTACTTCCAACACTCCTGGACCTACACCAACGGCATCGACATGAACACGGTAAACAGCAGAACTTCAAATCAGCATACCAACATAGTTAAATCCTCTTTCTTGCCAATGTGATCCTCATGCAAAATGCTTAAAAAATAAACTTTTTATTTTTGATTTCTGCTTTTCGATTGGAATAACATCTACGCTGGTAAGAGCAGGAGGTACATATTATGTGAAAGTATGAACTGTAACCATTTCCATGTTAGCTTAATTGCTTGACATTTTTGTTTCTCTTTCAAAACATATTATAATATTTGGCTCTCAAAACATCTCATAATCGCCCATCATGTGTAGACACCATAAACCATAATCATCATCATTATCATCATCATCACTTTTCTACCCGTTTTTGAGTGAAGTGTTTCAGTTTCCATACCATCTCATGTGTTTTGTGTGCCAACGCTGAGCTTCCACATGCATGCCAGATTCTAATTACAAGAGTGCTTTGCGCTGAGGCTAAGGGCATATGTCACAGATTGGCTTGCATGTGGCTGCATGAGCTTGCTTCAAGGATATATTAGTGCTTTTTCCTTTTAAAATCAAATGCAATTTTATTCGTCACATGCTTCGTAAACAACAGGTGTAGACGAGGAGTGAAATGCTTGCTTACAGGCCCTTCCCAACAAAGCAGAGTAAGAAAATATAGAAATAATAGAAAAGTAAAACTTGTAATAATAAATACACAATGAGTAACGATAACGTGGCTATATACATGGGGTAACAGTACCGAGTCGATTTGCAGGGGTATGAGGTAACTGAGGTAGATATGTACATATACTGTAACTAGGAATAAAGTGACAGATAATAAACAGTAGCAGCAGCGTATGTGATGAGTCAAAAAAGTTTGTGCAAAAAGGGTCAATGCAGATAGTCCGGGTAAATATTTGGTTAACTATTTAACTAACTACACTACATTACCAAAAGTATGTGGACACCTGCTCGTCGAACATCTCATTCCAAAATCATGTGCATTAATATGGTGTTGGTCCCCCCTTTGCTGCTATAACAGTCTCCACTCTTCTGGGAAGGCTTTCCACTAGATGTTAGAACATTGCTGTGGGGACTTGCTTCTATTCAGCCACAAGAGCATCAGTGAGGTCGGGCACTGATGTTGGGCAATTAGGCCTGGTTCGCTGTCGGCGTTCCAATTCGATTGAGGTCAGGGCTCTGTGCAGGCCAATCAAGTTCTTCCACACCTATCTCAACAAACCATTTCTGTATGGACCTCGCTTTGTGCACGAGGTATTGTCATGCTGAAACAGGAAAGGGCCTTCCCCAAACTGTTGCCACAAAGTTGGAAGCACAGAATCGTCTAGAATGTCATTGTATGCTGTAGCGTTAAGATTTCCCTTCACTGGAACTAAGGGGCCTAGTCTGAACCATGAAAAGAAGCCAGAGACCATTATTCCTTCTCCACCAAACTTTACAGTTGGCACTATGCATTGGGGCAGGTTGCGTTCTCCTGGCATCCGCCAAATCCAGATTTGTCCGTCGGACTGCCAGATGGTGAAGCGTGATTCATCACTCCAGAGAACACGTTTCCACTGCTCCAGAGTTCAATGGCGGCGAGCTTTACAACACTCCAGCCGACACTAGGCATTGCGCATGGTGATCTTAAGCTTGTGTGAGCTGCTCGGCCATGGAAACCCATTTCATGAAGATCCCGACGAACAGTTCTTGTGCTGACATTGCTTCCAGAGGCAGTTTGGAACTTGGTAGTGAGTGTTGTAACCGAGGACAGATGATTTTTACGCGCTACGCACTTCAACACTCGGCGGTCACGGTCTGTGAGCTCGTGTGGCCAACCAATTCGCAGCTGAGCCATTGTTGCTCCGAGATGAGCTTGGAGGGAACTATGGTGTTGAACACTGAGATGTATTAAATGAACACCATTCTCACATAGGTGTTCCTGTTGTCCAGGTGGGAAAGGGCAATGTGGAGGGAAATAGAGATTGCGTCATCTGTGGGGGTATTCGAATTGGAGTGGGTCCAGGGTGTCTGGTAAGATGGTGTTGATGAGAAACATGGCCAGCCTTTCAAAGCATTTCATGACTACAGATGTGATTGCTATGGGACTATGGTGGTGTGCTTGAAACATGTAGGTATTACAGACTGGGTCAGTGAGAGGTTGAAAATGTCAGTGAAGACACTTGCCAGCTGGTCAGCGCATGCTCCAAGTACACGTCCTGGTAACCTGTTTAAAAGGTCTTAAGGTCTTACTGTGATCGTCCAGAACAGCTGTTGCTCTCATGCATGGTTTAGTGTAGCTTGCCTCAAAGCGAGCATAGTGAGCATAGACATTTAGCTCGTCTAGTAGGCTTGCGTCACTGGGCAGCTCGCAGCTGGATTTCCCTTTGTATTCTGTGATAGTTTGCAAGCCCTGCCACATCCAACGAGCGTCAGAGCTGGTGTAGTAGGATTCGATCTTAGTCCTGTATGGACGCTTTGCCTGTTTGATGGTTTGTCGGAGGGTGTAGCGTGATTTCTTATAAGCGTCCAGATTAGTGTCCCGCTCCTTGAAAGCGGCAGCTCTAGCCTTTAGCTCAGTGCGGATGTTGCCTGTAATCCATGGCTTATGGATGGGATATGTACGTACGGTCACTGTGGGGAAGACATCGTCGATGCACTTATTAATTATGCCTGTGACTGATATGGTAAACTCCTCAATGCCATTGGATGAATCCTGGAACATATTCCAGTCTGTGCTAGTGAAACAGTCCGTTAGCTTAGCATCCGCTTCATCGGACCACTTCCGTTTTGAGTGCGTCACTGGTACATCCTGTTTCTAAAAACTTACTGTATCTTTCATTGTGAAAAAAGGTCTGAATAGCCTGTGTGAGTGTATACAGTAGTTACATTTGCACCAATTTACATCACTGAAACACTTCGTTATCATAGTCATTTCCATGTGGGCCAACCGAAGAATAGTTTAGCCCAGGTTCATTCCTTTTTATTGTAGAGGTAAGTATATCCTTTTATTATTTTTGTCACTACAGGTAGCCTACTTTAAATTCCAGGAGATTAAAACATTTTTGAGATACCGTAACCATTTGAGAAGGGTGAAAACAAACATATAGAACCCAATTGGCTGACTCAAGAGGTGATTCCACGTTGGCTGCATCCTGTAATTGTTAAATTTCTCCACACATACTGTAGGTGTTAAAAGGATTCCCTGAGTGTCTTCAGGCAGATATCTGCCTCCACCTCAACCAGGCTCTGTTGGAGAGCTGCAAGGCCTTCCATGGAGCTACCAAGGGCTGCCTGAGAGCCCTGGCCATGCGCTTCCAGACCACCCACGCCCCCCCAGGGGACACTCTGGTCCACTCTGGAGACGTCCTCACCGCACTTTACTTCCTGTCGCGGGGCTCCATAGAGATCTTGAAGGATGACATTGTGGTGGCCATTCTAGGTAAATGCAGTTTAACTATAAATAGCATCTGGTGGTTTTTACCTGGTCAGATCATATGGTCAGGAAAAACTCCTGGCACAAATTATATACTAGTGTTAAAGGGTAAATTCCACCCAAAAACAATATTTTGGTATTTGTTTAATTAGTCTATTGTTGATATAGTGCCAAAATGTTTTGCATGTGAGCAATCAAGTTTTCTTTTTCAAAGTTTTCACTTTCAAAATACAGAAATACAGCCGGTATGATGCAACGAGCATATTTATGCATCATACTGGCTGTATATTTGTATTTTGAAAGTTTTTGAAACATGATTGCTCACATGTGAAACATTTTGGGACTATATATACAATGGACTAATGAAACAATACCAAAATATAGTTTTTGGGTGGAGTTTTCTTTTAAGGCTAAGAGTTTTTCATGACCATGTGATCTGAGTAGGAAAAACTCCAGGCTCTATAAATGCTGATTGGAAAACATGCTAACGCTTATTGGTAGCTTTTTGAAGCATGATAAGACACATTGCTACTTACTGTACTGTCAGGGCAGTAATGAAAGAACCAAACCAAGTGGAGAACTGGGGTTGGTGAGGCATTTTTATAACAATGGTTTCAGGAGCACTTACTCTGGCATGAGCCTTAATATTAAAATCCCTTTCATCTGTGTTTATACAATTAAAGCTGTCATTTCTTTTGCATGTTTGCTGGATGGGTTGATTTGAATTATTGATTTGAATGATTCCGTCCTAGACAGTGTGGGGTTTCATGCTCGTATGATATTTGCAGTTGTGTAGCGCTAGATGTCAACTCAGGCAGAGATACACAGTGCCACCTCCCAAAGGGAAAATGGCTGGTTTTTCAAACACTGATCCACTGCAGCAGACCTCTTGTTCAAATCCAACAACTGACTGGAACAATATGTTCTGTCTAGTCTACCCGGAATCTTAACATGCTCCTCGTAAGCGTGAACACCTGAATGTATTTTATACCAGTTGTCTTACCTGGGTATGATTTTCCTTCTCACATTTAGACAACAACAGTGACTAGAGTAGTTAGATAAGCTTCCATTCCTAAGGTCCTGTCTGTTAAGGCATTAGGACTGTTCATCAAACAGGATGGAGGCTCTGACATTTCTATTAAGTGGCTCTGTATGAGACTGTTTGGCTCCGCTTAATTTCAGAAAGAAAACTCCACGTAGAATATGTTTAACCATTTATTCAGCAATGAATAACGTAAGTCTTTGCGATATAGGCTCTACTCCTTCAAGGTAACTCACTGCCTGATCAAAGCATCCCATTATAAAATATAGCCTACGGGCAGTGAGTGCGGTAAGCTATACCAATCCCACAACACTGCAGAACCTTACGCCAGATGCCTATGTGTAGCTATGGCAGAAGCACTATTTAAATATTATCTAATGGGACTCCCGAGTGGTGCAGCGGTCTAAGGCACTGCATCACAGTGCTTGAGGCGTCACTACAGTCCCAGGCTGTGTCACAACCGGCCGTGACCGAGAGTCCCATAGGGCAGCGCACAATTGGCCCAGCTTCATCCGGGTTAGGGGAGGGTTTGGCACGGGGGGCTTTACTTGGCTCATCGCGCTCAATTTTGAACAGAGGTTTGCCAGGTGCTGCCCATGCTCAGCATACAGGCAGCATAACATGAAAGAGAGGACAAAGCAGTGTTAGTTCTGGTGATGATGACAATGTTCCACATGTGAGAGTCCATGAAAGGAAGGAACATTTAGTGTATTCAGACTGAAGAACCCCTAAAGCCATCATACGGACCGCCTCTGGAAAAGCGTAATGTAAACCCAACACCGTTGCCTTAACGTGAACTAAAACTTGTGCTACTGAGACAGAGGAGAGATACTGTACTCTGATATCCATGTTCGTTGCTTTTCCTTAGGCCATGAAGAGTAGGCAGACAGATGGAGTCTTGAGCAGACTGCACGCTGAAGGGTCCTGACGCCCAATATGAACTGAATCCCTGCTATTGGAGCATGATAAGGAGCATTTGCCCAACTGAAATTGGAATGGAAAAGGCATACGTGTTTATATAACAAAATACATTGTACAGAGAGAAGACCATACAGTAGACTGCTGCAGAGCGCCACAGCTCAGCCATGACATACCATAACATAGCATAAAACATACAGTGTAACTAACAAACCCCCAAAACTGCAACTAAGGTTAGCTAAGTATCCACATGATCTAAATAGCCTAATGTCCTACTGAAATTGCTCAGCAGTAGCTGGTGCATCTACAGCATGCACAATGTGCACAGTGAGAGTGACCTGATAATCAAAACCTAGACCTAAAAATAGTCTACTTGAGCTGAAGGCTAATGTCTAACGGTATATGCTGGTAAGCCATGAGAGAATAATAAATGATGACCTGATAACGAAAGAAATAGACCCCATTCAGTGCATTTGGAAAGTATTCCGAGCCCTTCACTTTTTCCACATTTTGTTTCATTATGGCCTTATTCTGTTTTTTTCCCCCTCATCAATCTACACACAATACCCTATAATGACAAAGCAAAAACAGGTTTTTAGAAATGTTTGCACATAAAAATGAAAAATTAAATGAAAAAGGAAATATTTCATTTACATAAGTATTCAGACCCTTTACTCAGTACTTTGTTGAAGCACCTTTGGCAGCGATTACAGTCTCAACTCTTCTTGGGTATGACGCTACAAGCTTGGCACACCTGTATTTGGGGAGTTTCTCCCATTCTTCTCTGCTCAAGGACATTCAGAGACTGGGCCTGAAGCCACTCCCACGTTGTCTTGGCTGTGTGCTTAGGGTTGTTGTCCTGTTGGAAGGTGAACCTTGGCCCCAGTCTGAGCGCACTGGAACAGGTTTTCATCAAGGATCTCTCTGTACTTTGCTCGTTTCATCTTTCTCTCGATCCTGACTAGTCTACCAGTCCCTGCCACTGAAAAACATCCCCACAGCATGATGTTGCCACCACCATGCTTCACCGTAGGGATGGTATTGGCAAGGTGATGAGCGGTGCCTGGTTTCCTCCAGAAGTGATGTTTTGCATTCAGGCCAAAAAGATCATCAAGGACATCAACCAACCGAGCCACTGCCTGTTCACCCCGCTATCATCCAGAAGCCAAGGTCAGGACAGGTACATCGAAGCTGGGACCGAGAGACTGAAAAACAGTATCTATATCAAGGCCATCAGACTGTTAAAATATACATCAATAGCCGGCTACCACCCGGTTACTCAACCCTGCACCTTAGAGGCTGCTGCCATTTGTACATACAGTGCATTTGGGAAGTATTCTTTTTCCACATTTTGTCTGCACAAAATACCCCATAATGACAAAGCGAAAACAGGTTTTTAGAAATGTTTGCAAATGTATTACAAATAAAAAACAGAAATACCTTATTTACATAAGTATTCAGACCCTTTGCTATGAGACTCGAAATTGTGCTCAGGTGCATCCTGTTTCCATTGATCATACTTGAGAATCCACCTATAAAAAGAGACAATTCTCTCAGTAGTAAAACACGGGATAGCATGACTAATTTTGTAATTTTCCCCCACAATAGGCTTAATGGATGCTTTTGAGAACCAAAAACATGTGGATTGTTTGTAGTAGGCTAGTGTTCTATTGTAAGCTAGTGTTCTATTGTAATCATGATACAAAGCCTTGGTGTGAGAGCTGTGTGTGGGCGCCTACTCTGAGCCACTCTGCTGTGCTGCTGTCGTGTGTTAGGGAAGTATCCGGTCCCTGCTGAGGTGGAACACTAAGGCTGGAGGTCACTCCTCATAGGTCACTTAAAGCCACACAGCAGTCCAACCTATTGCATCTCATTCACACAAAATGCTGCACATGGGTTGACATTTACTAAGACCTGGCACCACTGAAAGGCCGTCTTAAGACCTATGACGAGTGGCTTAAGGTGCCCTTTAAACTATACACTCCGTATACACGCCACCCTCTGAGAGCTGACAAACTAGTCTCTCACATTTAAGGTTAAGAGCATAATATAATTCATTATACAACAGTAAATGCAAATAGAACAAATGCATTGCATCTCATTATCACAACAATCTATTCCTTTTTGTAGTGAAACAAGCAAAGTATGTTGATCACTACCTCAAACGTTGCTCATCACATCAAAGTTGGTTCTATCTGATATATACTCTATTACTTTGTTTAAATTATGGATCAAGACCACTGATGTGCAGACCTGAGTTGACAACGCATATACAGACAGAAAGAAAATAGGAACTCTACTTTTCATATCCTCAAAGGAAACCCAGACAGGCTGTCCTTCTCCACACCAGTCCAGTCCATTAGTCTACACTCCACATGAGATTGGTGGCACCTTAAGTGGAATGGTATCAAATACATCAAACACATGGTTTTCATGTGTTTGATGCCATTCCATTTGCTCCATTGAAGCCATTATTATGAGCCGTCCTTTCCTCAGCAGTCTCTTGTGTTACACACAGACAGACAGAGCCATTCTCCTAATCTTCCGAGAATATATGATCATCCTATATTTACTGAGAGACTCAAACCAGATCTCCTGACGTCTGGAGTATTCTGATAATTCTCTCTAAGAACTTAACCCAATCTACTCTCTCACGCTCTACTCACCAGGGAAGAATGACATCTTTGGAGAAATGATCCATCTTTACACCAAGCCTGGGAAGTCCAATGCAGATGTGAGAGCCCTGAGTTACTGTGACCTGCACACGATCCAGAGAGAAGATCTCTTGGAGGTGCTTGATATGTACCCAGAGTTCGCTGATTTCTTCCTGACAAACCTGGAGCTGACATTCAACCTCAGAGACGAGAATGGCAAGGTACATTTACATCAGATGGTCCTAACACAAGCCTATTGGGTCCTCTGTCAAAACTGTATGGTCAGTAACCATAGGCTGCGTCCCAAATGGCACAATATTCCCTTTATAGTGCACTTCTTTTGACCAAGGCCCATAGGGTAGAGTATATGGAATAGGGTGCCATTTGGGATGCAGCGTATTCTATAGCATATTCTAACAATGAAATAGTCCTGACAATAACAGAAAAAAAACAAGGCTTGCCATATGAGATTGTGTAAAATTAAATGTCATATAATCCTGGTAAATCAGTAATACCATTTAAAAAATCACTCACTGTATTCCAAAGTATTTGGAAAGGTAATTGCATGACGATGACGTTATGTTAATGAATCTACACTGACTTTACTTAACATTCCTTAAAGGTCCAATGCAGCTGTTTTTTCGATCTCAATTTCAAATCATTTCTGGGTAACAATTAATTAGCTTACAGTGATTATTTCCAATTGAAATGGTCAAAAATAAGCAAAGATACATTTTTGGGGGGTTGCTAGGACTGTTTGTGAATGGTCTGAGTGGGGAGGGGAAAACTGAAAACGATCTGTTATTGGCAGAGAGGTTTGGAACTCTTTCTTATTTGTCTATTAACTAATTTACCACCTGGTGATGTCACCAGGCTGGCCAAAAACTCCATCCCACCACAACAGGTTGAGATGTCAGACAGTCTTTTCAAACAGCACTTACACTAAAATGGCATTATCATCATTTTCACAATTTCACAGTATTATTCCAGCCTCATAGTGTGTAAATATTCACTCACCGACCAGTATATTTGGTACACCACCCTGCTGACGAAAATGGATCTCTCCTACAGACAGTCAGTCACGTGGCCTTGGCTTGCTATATAAAGCAGGCAGACAGGCATCGAGGCATTCAGTTACTGTTCAATTGAAAGTTAGAATGTGCAAAACTAGTGACCTAAGCGACTTTGAGCGTGGTGTGATCGTTGATGCCAGGCGAGCCATCCTGGGTTTTTCACATACAACAGTGTCTAGGGTTTACAGAGAGGGGTGCGATAAACAACAAACATCCAGTCAGCGGCAGTCCTGTGGGCGAAAACAGCTAATTGATGAGGGACGTCAAAGGAGAATGACAAGAATCGTGCAAGCGAACAGATGGGCCACAAACAGACAAATAACGGCGCAGTACAACAGTGGTGTGCAGAACAGCATCTCAGAACGCACAACTCGTCAATCCTGGATGGGCTATTGCACCAGACGACCACACCGGGTTCCACTACTATCAGCTAAAAACAAGAAGAAGCGGCTCCAGTGGGCACGCGATCACCAACACTGGACAATTGAGGAGTGGAAAACATCACTTGGAACATGACAGTGAGTTCTGTTTACTTGAGTGGCCTGCGCAGACCTCAACCCAATGGAGCATCTTTGGGATGAGATGGAACAGGCTGTTCGCAGCATGATCTACCTCCATCCAATCTGCAGCAACTGCGTGATGCCATCGTGTCAGCATGGACCAACATCCCTGTGGAATGTTTCCTTACACCTTGTAGAATGCCCCGAAGAATTCAGGCTGTTCTGGAGGCAAAGGGGGGTCCGACCCTGTACTAAATGGGTGTACCTAATAAAGTTGCCGGTGAGAGTATATACAGTGGGGGAAAAAAGTATTTAGTCAGCCACCAATTGTGCAAGTTCTCCCACTTAAAAAGATGAGAGAGGCCTGTAATTTTCATCATAGGTACATGTCAACTATGACAGACAAAATGAGAAAAACATTCCAGAAAATCCCATTGTAGGATTTTTAATGAATTTATTTGCAAATTATGGTGGAAAATAAGTATTTGGTCAATAACAAAAGTTTCTCAATACTTTGTTATATACCCTTTGTTGGCAATGACACAGGTCAAACGTTTTCTGTAAGTCTTCACAAGGTTTTCACACACTGTTGCTGGTATTTTGGCCCATTCCTCCATGCAGATCTCCTCTAGAGCAGTGATGTTTTGAGGCTGTCGCTGGGCAACACAGACTTTCAACTCCCTCCAAAGATTTTCTATGGGGTTGAGATCTGGAGACTGGCTAGGCCACTCCAGGACCTTGAAATGCTTCTTACGAAGCCACTCCTTCGTTGCCCGGGCGGTGTGTTTGGGATCATTGTCATGCTGAAAGACCCAGCCACATTTCATCTTCAATGCCCTTGCTGATGGAAGGAGGTTTTCACTCAAAATCTCATGATACATGGCCCCATTCATTCTTTCCTTTACACGGATCAGTCGTCCTGGTTCCTTTGCAGAAAAACAGCCCCAAAGCATGATGTTTCCACCCCCATGCTTCACAGTAGGTATGGTGTTCTTTGGATGCAGCTCAGCATTATTTGTCCTCCAATCACGACGAGTTGAGTTTTTACCAAAAAGTTATATTTTGGTTTCATCTGACCATATGACATTCTCCCAATCCTCTTCTGGATCATCCAAATGCACTCTAGCAAACTTCAGACGGGCCTGGACATGTACTGGCTTAAGCAGGGGGACACGTCTTGCACTGCAGGATTTGAGTCCCTGGCAGCGTAGTGTGTTACTGATGGTAGGCTTTGTTACTTTGGTCCCAGCTCTCTGCAGGTCATTCACTAGGTCCCCCCATGTGGTTCTGGGATTTTTGCTCACCGTTCTTGTGATCATTTTGACCCCACGGGGTGAGATCTTGCGTGGAGCCCCAGATCGAGGGAGATTATCAGTGGTCTTGTATGTCTTCCATTTCCTAATAATTGCTCTCACAGTTGATTTCTTCAAACCAAGCTGCTTACCTATTGCAGATTCAGTCTTCCCAGCCTGGTGCAGGTCTACAATTTTGTTTCTGGTGTCCTTTGACAGCTCTTTGGTCTTGGCCATAGTGGAGTTTGGAGTGTGACTGTTTGAGGTTGTGGACAGGTGTCTTTTATACTGATAACAATTTCAAACAGGTGTCATTAATACAGGTAACGAGTGGAGGACAGAGGAGCCTCTTAAATAAGAAGTTACAGGTCTGTGAGAGCCAGAAATCTTGCTTGTTTGTAGGTGACCAAATACTTATTTTCCACCATAATTTGCAAATAAATTCATTAAAAATCCTACAATGTGATTTTCTGGAATTTCTTTCTCTCAATTTGTCTGTCATAGTTGACGTGTTCCTATGATGAAAATTACAGGCCTCTCTCATCTTTTTAAGTGGGAGAACTTGCACAATTGGTGGCTGACTAAATACTTTTTATCCCCACTGTAAAACACAGGACTGTCACGGTGTAGTAATGGTGTGGTGTGGAATCAGGCGCAGAAGCAGATGTACAGTCCAACAAGACTTTACTAGTGAGAGCAAAATAATCCAAAAACGGCCGGAGGCCAAACAGACGCACACAGGCGTCAAATACGAGCGCACAAACACAGGGCGCAAAAACTCTCCTCAACCGAGGAGGAAGCTAATCGTAACTGGCGTACCGAAACACGGGTAACGCACAAACACCTGACACGAAACAATTACACACAACACTACACTAACAACAAGGAAACTAAATAGGGTGCTTAATGAGACATAACACAAGACAGGTGTGGCTAACAGACAAAACTAATCAAACAGGAAACATAGAACATACAACGGTGGCAGCTAGAATTCCGGAGACGACGAACGCCGAAACCTGCCCGAACAAGGGAGAGAGGCAGCCTCGGCCGAAACCGTGACAGTACCCCCCCCTTGACGCGCGGCTCCAGACATGCGCCGACTCCGGCCTTGGGGACGACCCGGAGGACGTGGAGCAGGGCGCGTCGGATACCCCCGATGGAATTCCGTCAGGAGCGACGGGTCCAAAATGTCTCTCCTCGGCACCCAGCACCGCTCCTCCGGACCGTACCCCTCCCACTCCACTAGATACTGGAGACCCCCCATCCGACGTCTCGAATCCAAGATGGGCCTCACGGAGTACGCCGGTGCCCCCTCGATGTCCAATGGGGGCGGGGGAGTCTCCCCTATCTCATTTTCTTGGAGCGGGCCCGCTACCACCGGCCTGAGAAGGGACACATGGAACGAGGGGTTAATACACTTATACTCCACAGGTAGCTGTAATCTATAACATACCTCGTTCAACCTTCTCAGGACTTTAAATGGCCCTACAAACCGCCGACCCAGTTTCCGACAGGGCAGGCGGAGGGGCAGGTTTCTGGTAGAGAGCCAGACTCGATCACCAGGTGCGTACACCGGTGCCTCACTGCGGTGGAGATCAGCGCTCGCCTTCTGACGTCGGAGGGCCCGCTGCAGGTGGACGTGTGCAGCGTTCCAAGTCTCCTCCGAGCGCCGCGCCCACTCATCCACCGCAGGAGCCTCGATCTGGCTCTGCTGCCAGGGTGCCAGAACCGGCTGGTAACCTAACACACATTGAAATGGAGTTAGGTTAGTGGAGGAATGGCGTAGGGAATTCTGGGCCATCTCGGCCCAGGGAACGTACCTTGACCACTCCTCCGGCCGGTCCTGGCAGTATGTTCTGAGAAACCTACCCACATCCTGGTTTACGCGTTCCACCTGCCCATTACTCTCCGGGTGGTACCCCGAGGTGAGGCTCACCGAGACCCCCAACCACTCCATAAACGCTCTCCAGACTCTGGAGGTGAATTGGGGACCCCGATCAGCCACAATGTCCTCGGGTACCCCGTAGTGCCGGAACACATGGGTGAACAGTGCCTCGGCAGTTTGTAGGGCAGTAGGAAGACCCGGCATGGGGAGCAAACGACAGGCCTTAGAGAACCGGTCCACAACGACCAGGATGGTAGTATTCCCTTGGGAGAGGGGAAGGTCTGTTATAAAGTCCACAGAGAGGTGGGACCATGGTCGTTGTGGAACGGGCAGGGGTAGCAACTTACCCCTAGGCAGATGTCTAGGCGCCTTACACTGGGCGCACACCGAGCAGGAGGAAACATAAACCCTCACATCCCTTGCCAACGTGGGCCACCAGTACTTGGCACTAAGACAGTGCACTGTCCGGCCGATACCCGGATGTCCAGAGGAGGGTGACGTGTGAGCCCAATAGATCAATCGATCCCGAACCTCGAGCGGAACGTACTTCCGACCCTCCGGGCACTGTGGTGGACTAGGGTCGGTGCGTAACGCCCGCTCGAGTTCAGTATCGACCTCCCACACTACCGGTGCCACCAGACACGACTCAGGCAGTATGGGAGTGGGCTCCACGGACCTCTCCTCCGTGTCATACCGCCGAGACAGCGCATCTGCCTTGCCATTCTGTGACCCAGGGATGTACGTGATCTTAAAAGTAAACCCCCTCAAGCCAGTGCCTCCACACCTTTAGAGCCTGTACCACGGCTAACAGCTCCCTGTCCCCTACGTCATAGTTCCGCTCCGCCGGACTGAGCTTCTTAGAATAAAAAGCACAGGGGCGGAGTTTAGGTGGCGCGCCAGACCGTTGTGAAAGCACGGCTCCTAAACCGGCCTCTGACGCGTCCACCTCTACCTGGAACGGCAAAGAGGGATCCGGATGCGCCAGCACCGGGGCCGAGGTAAACAGGTCCTTCAGCCTCCCAAACGCCCTGTCCGCCTCGGCCGACCACTGCAGACGCACCAGACCCCCCTTCAACAGAGACGTGATGGGAGCTGCCACCTGTCCAAAACCCCGGATAAACCTCCTGTAGTAATTTGCAAACCCCAAAAACTGCTGCACCTCCTTCACAGTGGTTGGTGTTTGCCAATTACGCACGGCCGACACCCGGTCTACCTCCATCTTCACCCCTGACGCAGACAACTGATAACCCAAAAAGGAGACCGACTCCTGGAAAAACAGACACTTCTCTGCCTTCACATACAGGTCGTGCTCCACCAGCCTCCGCAACACTCTACGCACCAGGGCCACATGCTCGACACGGGTAGGCGAGTACACGAGAATGTCATCAATGTACACAACCACCCCCTGCCCCTGCATGTCCCTGAAGATCTCATCCACGAATGATTGGAAAACTGACGGAGCGTTCATCAACCCGTATGGCATGACCAGATACTCGTAATGGCCCGAGGTGGTACTAAAGGCTGTCTTCCATTCATCACCCTCCCTGATGCGCACCAAGTTGTACGCGCTCCTGAGATCTAATTTCGTGAAGAAACGCGCCCCATGCAACGACTCAGTCATGGTCGCAATCAGCGGGAGTGGATAACTGTACTTCACCGTAATCTGATTGAGACCACGGTAATCGATGCACGGGCGCAAACCACCATCCTTTTTCTTCACAAAAAAGAAACTCGAGGACACAGGGGAAGTGGAAGGCCGTATGTATCCTTGTCTCAGAGATTCGTCTATGTAAATCTCCATAGCTTTCTTCTCCTCCTGAGACAGAGGATACACATGGCTCCGTGGGAGCGCAGCTCCTGCCTGGAGGTCTATCGCACAATCTCCCTGCCTATGGGGTGGCAACCGCGTCGCCCTCGCCTTACTAAACGCAATAGCCAAATCCCCATACTCAGGGGGAACGTGCAATGCGGGCACCTGGTTTGGACTCTCCACCGAGGTAGCCCCTACGGAAACGCCCAAACATCTACCCACACACTGAGCAGACCACTCCATCAGAGCCCTCTCCTGCCACGAAATAGCTGGGTTATGGGTACTCAACCAGGGCATGCCCAGCACCACCGGATACGCAGGAGAGTCAATCAGGAACAGCTGAATCATCTCCTGATGATCCCCCTGCGCACACATCCTAAGTGGCGCCGTGACCTCCCTGATTAAGCCCGTACCCAACGGACGACTATCTAGGGCATGAACGGGGAAAGGAACATCAACAGGAATAAGGGGAATCCCTAACGCTAAACAAAACTTTTTATCAATAAAATTCCCAGCCGCGCCTGAATCTACCAGCGCCTTATGCTGGGAATGAGGTGCTACCTGTGGAAAACGCACAGGCATCCAAAAATGGGCAACAGTGAGCTCTGGGTGAGTGGGGCGCCTACTCACCTGGAGGGAATCCCCAGTGCGGGACCTGTCGTCATCCTCCCTAGGAGGCCATCCCCAGCACCTAGCCGCGGTGTGTCCTCCCCGACCACAGTTGGTGCAGTGGATGGACCCCCTACCCAACCGACTCCTCCTCTCTCTAGCGCCAGCGCCCCCGAGCTCCATAGGACACGGCTCGGAGGCGCTGGAGGGTGAAATGGACGGACCCCCCTCAGGACGTCCGCGGGTAGCCAATAGGTTATCCAGCCTGATGGACATGTCGACCAGCTGGTCGAAAGAGAGACTGGTGTCCCTACAAGCCAGCTCCCGACGGACGTCCTCTCGTAGGCTACATCTGTATAGATCGACGAGGGCCCGCTCATTCCACCCTGCATCTGCCGCTAGAGTACGGAATTCGAGAGCGAATTCTTGGGCACTCCTCCTCCCCTGCCGGAGGAAGACCAGACGCTCCCCCGCCGCTTTCCCCTCCGGGGGATGGTCAAACACCGCCCTGAAGCGGCGGGAGAACTCGTTGTAGGTGATCGTCTCGGCGTCGATCTTCCTCCACTCCGCGTTGGCCCATTCCAACGCCTTCCCGGACAGGCAGGAGATCAGGGCGGACACGCTCTCATGCCCCGAGGGTGCCGGGTGTACGGTGGCCAGGTACAGCTCCACCTGGAGGAGGAATCCCTGACACCCAGCCGCGGTTCCGTCGTAGGCCCTCGGGAGAGAGAGTCGGATTCCTCGGGGTTCTGGCGCTGGAATGGGCGGACTGGCCGATGGTGCTGGCAGGGAGGGAGGTGGTGGAGGCGCTCCCTAGCCTCGGAGCGTGGTGATCACCTCCTGCAGGGCGGTCCCCATCTGCTGTATCTGGTCCTGTTGTTCCCGAACCTGGACCTCCAGTCTCGTCGGGGCTGCTTCGGCTCCTGCTGATTCCATGTCGGGTGTGTAATTCTGTCACGGTGTAGTAATGGTGTGGTGTGGAATCAGGCGCAGAAGCAGATGTACAGTCCAACAAGACTTTACTAGTGAGAGCAAAATAATCCAAAAACGGCCGGAGGCCAAACAGACGCACACAGGCGTCAAATATGAGCGCACAAACACAGGGCGCAAAAACTCTCCTCAACCGAGGAGGAAGCTAATCGTAACTGGCGTACCGAAACACGGGTAACGCACAAACACCTGACACGAAACAATTACACACAACACTACACTAACAACAAGGAAACTAAATAGGGTGCTTAATGAGACATAACACAAGACAGGTGTGGCTAACAGACAAAACTAATCAAACAGGAAACATAGAACATACAACGGTGGCAGCTAGAATTCCGGAGACGACGAACGCCGAAACCTGCCCGAACAAGGGAGAGAGGCAGCCTCGGCCGAAACCGTGACAAGGACAATCAAGTTTTTGGGCCATTAACTATGCTCAGGGCCACCGCTATAAAATGTTCCTGTATCAGATTATATCATATTAATTATTTAATATTACATTACATTTGCGAGATGGGCCTAGTGATCGATCCCAAATGGCACCTTATTCCTTATTGAGAGCACTACTTTTGACCAAAGCCCTGGCTTCTGGTCAAAGGTTTTAATAATATTATATACTATTTGCGAGATGGGCCTAGTGTGCATCTCAAATGGCACCCTAATCCCTATTTAGAGCACTACTTTCACCAGAGTTCTGGGCCCTGGTCAAATGAAGTGCACTATAAAGGGAATAGGGTGCCATTTAGAACGCAGTTTCAGTGATTGTACGTGCTGATGTTTCCATCTACACAGGCTGCGTATTCTCACGCTAGTGATTCCGATCCAGAAGACATTAAGAGCACAAAGAGCCCAAGAAGAATCTCCGTCACACCACATCCAATTGAAGGTGGGTTCCAGATTCACACTCCGCACGAGCACTTCCTCTTTTGCATGCATTTGTTTTATTGTTCTTTTTCACTGAGCAGCTCTCTAAGTCCCAGAAGAGATCAGTGCTTTCTTTCTGTGGCACTAGAGCACGGGTGTATTCCACTGACTCGTGTTGATTACAATTCCACAGGGGGAAGCAACAAGGAAACAGAAAATGACTCGGAGAAGGAGTCCTACTCTGGCCTAAAGAGAGCTTCAGTTGACCTGAAATGCTCAGGGAAGGCGGAGCAGAGGTCCCTGGGGTTGGCCATCCAGAGGTGTCCCTCGGTGGAAGACCCTGCACTGGGGCTTGACTCTAATAATACCGGAGACATCCAGGCTAGAGACAGCATGGAGAGAACTCCCTCTTATGACGATAACATTGGTAAGCAGAAATACAATGATAACCCTTACTGTGCTCACACATTACATTTGGTTCATTATCCATCGATGATCTAGTCCCAACATATTTAGTTTGTCAGCGATCAGGTTTTCAAGATATATAACTTTCTAAATACAGAAATACAGCCAGTATGATGCATTTTGCATATATAGTGTATACACAAGTATGTGGACACTCCTTCAAATTAGTGGATTCTGCTATTTCAGCCACATCCGTTGTTGACCAGTGTATAAAATCGATCACACAGCCATACAATCTCCATAGACAAACATTGGCAGTAGAATGGCCTTACTGAAGAGCTCATTGACTTTCAACGTGGCACCGTCATAGGATGCCACCTTTCCAACTAGTCAGTTCGTCAAATTACTACCCTGCTAGAGCTGTCAACTGTAAGTCCTGTTATTATGAAGTGGAAACATCTAGGAGCAACAACGGCTCAGACGTGAAGTGGTAGGCCACACAAGCTCACAGAACGGGACCGCCGAGTGCTGAAGCAAGTAGAGCATAAAAACCTTCTGTCCTCAGTTGCAACACTCACTACCGAGTTCCAAACTGCCTCTGGAAGCCTAAGATCAACATGTGCAATGCCAAGCGTCGGCTGGAGTGGTGTAAAGCTCGCCGCCAATGGACTCTGGAGCAGTGGTAATGCGTTATCTGGTATGTTGAATTATACTTCACCATCTGGCAGTCCGACGGACGAATCTGGGTTTGGCAGATGCCATGAGAACACTACATGCCCCAATGCATAGTGCCAACTCTAAAGTTTGGTGGAGGAAGAATAATGGTCTGGGGCTAGGCCCCTTAGTTCCAGTAAAGGGAAATCTTAACACTACAGCATACAATGACATTCTAGACGATTCTGTGCTTCCAACTTTGTGGCAACAGTTTGGGGAAGGCCCTTTCCTGTTTCAGCATGACAATGCCCCGTGCACAAAGCGAGGTCCATACAGAAATGGTTTGTCGAGATCGGTGTTTAAGAACTTGACTGGCCTGCACAGAGGTTGTTATAGCAGCAAAGGGGGACCAACTCCATATCAATGCCCATGATTTTGGAATGAGATGTTCGACGTGCAGGTGTCCACATTCTTATGGTCATATAGTGTATGTCTAAAGATGTTAGGTAAAGTGGGACTTTTTGTATCAACTTATGTGACATCAAAGAGGTCCAACCAACTTTCTGGTAGAGAATGCAGTGATGAGTACTAAAATTGTCGCCAATAATAAAGCGCAGTGCGCTATGATATACTGCATCTAATGGCTTAAATGAATTGGCAGTTCATATAGATGATGTCACCATAGTCTTGGACTGATAGGGACATCAACTGAATAATCTGCTTTCTACTTCTATAGAAGAACGCCATTTTTATTCTCAGCTTCTTAACTCATCAATATGCTTTTAAAAGACAGCTTTTCATCCAACCAGATACCCAGATATTTGTAAGCAGGGACATGATCAATATGGACACCAACCAAAGTACATAAGCTTAAATCAGTTATTTTTATGCACTTTTTTTAACCTGCATTCAATACTAATTTCAGGTCAGTAAAGTTTTTTTGTAATACAATGAAGGCAGACTGTAGTTCAGATAGATCCTGGTCAACAATGGAGGCAATAGCACACACAACAGCATCATCGGCATACAAGTGCAGGTTACATTTTTTTACAGACAACTCGATATTGTTAATGTAAACAGTAATATGTGCTGGACCCAGAATCGACCCCTGCAAGACACCTTTCATAATATCCAGGAAACCTGATTTAACACCATCAGTAGATACACATTGAGTTCTATCTGTGAAGTCATTTTTAAACCTGTTACATGCAACCTGGTCAGGGCAAATTGAGGAAAGCCTCTGAGTTAGCAGTCAGTGATCAACCTTATCGAAAGCCTACGACAGGTCAATGAAGAGGGCAGCACAATGTTGCCTTTTAACCATAGAGTTAACCACATCATTAATAACTAGAGATGAAGCATAGATGGTGCTATGATCTGGTCTAAAACCCGACTGATGTACACTACCGGTCAAAAGTTTTAGAACACCTACTCATTCAAGGGTTTTCCTTTATTTGTACTATTTTCTACATTGTAGAATAATAGTGAAGACATCAAAACCATGAAATAACACATATGGAATCATGTAGTAACCAAAAAAGTGTTAAACAAATCAAAATATATTTTATATTTGAGATTCTTCAAATACCTAACCTTTGCCTTGATGACAGCTTTGCACACTCTTGGCATTCTCTCAACCAGTTTCATGAGGTAGTCACCTGGATACATTTCAATGAACCGGTGTGCCTTCTTAAAAGTCAATTTGTGGAATCTATTTCCTTCTTAATGCATTTGAGCCAATCAGTTGTGTTGTGACAAGGTGGGGGGTATACAGAAGATAGCCCTATTTGGTAAAAGACCACGTCCATATTATGGCAAGAACAGCTCAAATAAGCAAAGAGAAACAACAGCCATCATTACTTTAAGACACAAAGGTCAGTCAATACGGAACATTTCAAAAACGTTGAACGTTTCTTCAAGTGCAGTCGCAAAAACCATCAAGCGTTATGATGAAACTGGCTCTCATCAGGACCGCCACAGAAATGGAAGACCCAGAGTTACCTCTGCTGCAGAGGATAAGTTCATTAGAGTTACCAGCCTTATAAATTGCAGCCCAAATAAATGCTTCACAGAGTTCAAGTAACAGACATATCTCAACATTAACTGTTCAGAGGAGACTGTGTGAATCAGGCCTTCATGGTCGAATTGCTGCAAAGATACCACTACCAAAGGACACCAATAAGAAGAAGAGACTTGCTTGGGCCAAGAAACACGAGCAATGGACATTAGACCGGTGGAAACTTGTCCTTTGGTCTGGAGTCCAAATTTGAGAGATTTGGTTCCAACCGCCGTGTGTTTGTGAGACGCAGTGTGGGTGAACAGATGATCTCCGCATGTGTATTTCCCACCGTAAAGCATGGAGGAGCAGGTGTTATGGTGTGTTTTTTTTGTTGCTGGTGACACTGTCTGGGATTTATTTAGAATTCAAGGCACACAACCAGCATAGCTACCACAGCATTCTCCAGCGATACGCCATCCCATCTGGTTTGGGCTTAGTGGGACTATCATTTGTTTTTCAACAGGACAATGACCCAACACACCTCCAGGCTGTGTAAGGGCTATTTTACCAAGAAGGAGAGTGATGGAGTGCTGCATCAGATGACCTGGCCTCCACAATACCCCGACCTCAACCAAATTGAGATGGTTTGAGTCGGACTGTGGGAACTCCTTCAAGACTGTTGGAAAAGCATTCCAGGTGAAGCTGGCTGAGAGAATGCCAAGAGTGTGCAAAGCTGTCATCAAAGCAAAGGGTGGCTATTTGAAGAATCTCAAATCTCAAATATATTTTGATTTGTTTAACACTTTTTTGGTTATTACATGATTCCATATGTGTTATTTCATAGTTTTGATGTCTTCACTATTATTCTACAATGAATGAGTAGGTTTTCTAAAACTTTTGACTGGTAGTGTACATTTAGAATACTTTTCAAAGATAATATCTTATCTGAGAATTAATCAAGGATTCTAATATTTTAGCTAGGCAAGAAAGTTTAGAAATAGGGTGATCATTATTTAGGTCACAAGGGTCACCACCTTTGTGAAGGGGGAGTACATGGGCTGCCTTCTAAACCTTTGGGATAGTACCAGATATAAATATGGGTTAGTGATTCAGAAATCAGGGGTGCAGAGAGCTGCTGCTAAAATGGATCAAGCATATCAGCCCCAGTGGATGTTTCAAGAAAAAAGACAACAGAAAGAGGAGTGTGTGTTACAGTCTGGGCGTTCCAAAAGCTCCTGCTACATCAGACAAACGTGATGAAAGTTCATTATCAGCCTGTCGTTTGTTTCAAATCACAAAAGAGCTGCTCTTACCCACACCAGCATTAATCAATGTACACAGCATGTATTAGCAGTGTGTCTAGCAGAAATATCACCAGAGTTAGCCTGACTATGACCCACTACTTTATTATTTGTTTATTTGCATCCCCATTAGCTTTTGCAGAAGCAGCAGCTACTCTTCCTGGGGTCCACAAAAAACAAAACAATACATGACAAGTACCAAAACACTGATACACTGATAGACAAGGGCAGTTATACAAATGTTTAATTCCAACAATATACAAACAATACAACCACAAAAAATAATACAAACAACACAACAAAATAGTTGTGTGTTAGATTGTCTATGTGTGCGTGTGTTTGTGTGTGTCCCCTCACAGTCCCCGCCGTTCCATTAGATTTTTTAAATCCGTTTTTTAAAAGGTCATTTTGATATTTTCTGGAGTAATTGGAGATAAAAGGTCCCATGCGATAATGGCTCTGTATAATACTGTGCGTTGCCTGAATTTGTTTTGGACTTGGGGATAGTGAAGAGACCCCTGGTGGCAGGGCTCGACATTAAGGCTTGTCCGGGGCAAATAATAGAATAGTCGGACAAGCAGAATATAGATCTCAGTTGTCCGAATGGCCAAGTAAAAAAAAATCACAATATCAAACAATTACTCAGATCAGAATTGGATCAGGTAGCGGCACTGCCACAGTGCACAGCAGGGCAGTGCATGGTTGAAAATGAGTAAATTGGCTATATTCCTATTTGCTATAGCCTATTTCAATAAATGTGTTATATTTACACAAAGCAAGAGAACAATGTAGACAGAGCTAAGATTCTGACCAAAGTAGCGGAAAATATTTGGTTAGAAAATATATATATATTTTTCTCTCTCTCATATTTTTATAGCAGACACTCCGGTGTCTTATTGTTGCAAAAGCCCAAATGTTATATTTTCTCTCCATTTGATATGAATATGACTTGGCCTATTAAGCCACTCTTTCAGTTTAATGCATGCTAGATTTGCAATGTGAAACCTACATACAATGCATATAATAGCCTAGGCCTAATAAGAGGGGAGGATGAGAAAAAATGTGAATCAGTTTATAATTATCCTGTTCTGAGGACAGCAGAGTTGCTCTGCAGCCCATGACGATGTATCACCCATCACAAGACACACAGCCAGCGGGACTCGTTAACTGTGTCACTCGATACATCTGCACGCTTCTGCATAAGGCCTTGCTAAAGATTTGGCTCCACTAAATATATTTAGTCAATGTCATTATTCCTCGTCCCTCCCGTAGAATGCCAGCCAGTCTTCTTGTATTTACTTATTTACTTTTCTTTGTACATTATTTTGGATGGTCACTAGGGGCCGATAACATTGTCTATGGCAGGGGTGTCCAACTCATTCCATAGAGGGCTTAGTGTCTGCTGGTTTGTTTTTTTCATCAATTAAGATCTAGACAACCAGGTGAGGTCCTAATATCATTTACCTTATTCATCAATCAAGTACAAGGGAGGACGAAAACCCGCAAAATGTTATAAATTGATTTGCATTAAATGAGGGAAATACGTATTTGACCCCTCTGCAAAACATGACTACATGACTACTTGGTGGCAAAACCCTTGTTGGCAATTACAGAGGTCAGACGTTTCTTGTAGTTGGCCACCAGGTTTGCACACATCTCAGGAGGGATTTTGTTCCACTCCTCTTTGCAGATCTTCTCCAAGTCATTAAGGTTTCGAGGCTGACGTTTGGCAACTCGAACATTCAGCTCCACTCCACATATTTTCTACGGGATTAAGGTCTGGAGACTGGCTAGGCCACTCCAGGACCTTAATGTGCTTCTTTTTTGAGCCACTCCTTTGTTGCCTTGGCCGTGTATTTGGGTCATTTTCATGCTGGAATACCCATCCACGACCCATTGTCAATGCCCTGTCTGAGGGAAGGAGGTTCTCACCCAAGATTTGGACGGTACATGGCCCCCTCCATCGTCCCTTTGATGCGGTGAAGTTGTCCTGTCCCCTTAGCAGAAAAAACACCCCCAAAGCATAATGTTTACACCTCCATGTTTGACGGTGGGGATGGTGTTCTTGGGGGTCATAGGCAGCCATTCCTCCTCCTCAAACACGGCGAGTGAGTTGATGCCAAAGAGCTCAATTTCGGTCTCATCTGACCACAACACTTTCAACCCAGTTCTCCTCTGAATCATTCAGAGTGTTCATTGGCAAACTTCAGACGGCCCTGTATATGTGCTTTCTTGAGCAGGGGGACCTTGCGGGTGCTGCAGGATTTCAGTCCTTCACGGCGTAGTTTGTTACCAATAGTTTTCTTGGTGACTATGGTCCCAGCTGCCTTGAGATCATTGACAAGATTCTCTCGTGTAGTTCTGGGCTGATTCCTCACCGTTCTCATGATCATTGCAACTCCACGAGGTGAGATCTTGCATGGAGCCCCCAGGCCGAGGGAGATTGACAGTGTTTTTGTGTTTCTTCCATTTGCGAATAATCACACCAACTGTTGTCACCTTCTCACCAAGCTGCTTGGTGATGGTCTTGTAGCCCATTCCAGCCTCGTGTAGGTCTACAATCTTGTCCCTGACATCCTGGAGAGCTCTTTGGTCTTGGCCATGGTGGAGAGTTTGGAATCTGATTGATTGATTGCTTCTGTGGACAGGTGTCTTTTATACAGGTAACAAACTGAAATTAGGAGCACTCCCTTTAAGAGTGTGCTCCTAATCTCAGCTCGTTACCTGTATAAAAGACACATGGGAGCCAGAAATCTTTCTGATTGAGAGGGGGTCAAATACTTATTTCCCTCATTCAAATGCAAATCAATTTAGAACATTGTTGACATGCGTTTTTCTTGATTTTTTTGTTGTTATTCTGTCTCTCACTGTTCAAATAAACCTACCATTAAAATTATAGACAGATCATTTCTTTGTCAGTGGGCAAACGTACAAAATCAGCAGGGGATCAAATACTTTTTTCCCTCACTGTATGATCAATACAAGTGGATGTCACAGATCCAACACTATTGGTATGCACTGTAGTTGGTTTGAGTGATAACCTGGGTCATAATACAGCTCTTGAAGTCAATGTTCAGGTCACCCAGAAAATAGAGCTCTCTGTTAACATCACACCCAGTATCAAGCATTGCACACATATTATCCAAATACTGACTGTTAGCACTTGGTGGCCTATAGCAGCACCCCAAAAGAAGAGGCTTTAGATGAGGCAGGTGAACTTGCAACCACAACACCTCAACAACATTTGACATGAGATCCTCTCTAAACTTTACAGGATTATGGCTCTGAAGCTATACAGCAACACCTCCCCCATAGGCATTCCTGTCTTTTCTGTAGATGTTATATCCTTGTACTGCTGTATCATCAAAGGAATGATCTAAGTGAGTTTCAGAGATGGCCAGTACATGAATGTTATCCGATGATAGCAAGTTACTGATTTCATGAACCTTAATTCTAAGGCTACATACATTAATAGGGGCTATTCTTAGCCCTTTCCTGGGTAGCTTATCGGAGGTAGAAATAATATATTTTAAAAAGTTAAAAACATTGTTTGGCTAATAGAGTCAGTCAATCAGGCACTTGTGAGTGTGTGTTGTTGGGCTGAAGCTACTGACCCGGAAGCTTGGTTCTCTCACTTCTCCCAGGCTTTTGGGAGGGAGCGTGGGGAATGAGCTTGTCGTAGTGGATGTAAGCAATGTCCCCACACTCTCTGGTAGCTTTCATAGCTGGGATAAGTTCTTTCCACCTCTGGCACACAGCTTCAGAGAAGTCCTCGTTGAGGAAGATGTTGGTTCCTCTCAAGTTCTTGGCTCTCTCCAGAAATTCCATCTTGTCCTTGAACCTTAGGAACTTGTCCCACTATGTCCCACTACAAAATAGAAAACAATTTTGTCTCCTGAAACACTAGCTAGGCAAATAAATTACAAACACAAGGAACAACACACAGCAGCTTTTCACCAAAAGATGAATAGTGTTCTATTTTAGTGGTTGGTTGGTTTAGTGATTACCAGGCTCCTATGCTCTGACCCACATGTGAACTTGTAAAGGATGTGTTTCCCTCCCTCGCCAGATCTGTGCAATGACAAATGGGACTGCGAGAAGCCCCGAGACTACCTGGATGAGTCAGCACAATTGCAGGACCTGAGGGGCGAGGATGACGACGCCAGTGAAATCACATACGGAGAGGTGGAGCAACGCTTAGATCAGCTCCAAGAGCACTTAAACAGGTAGGCCTACTGTACTGCACTCCTTTGGCCATCTCTGACCTTTACAATGTAATGTCTAACATTCATGGAAATCTAGCTTAAATCCAGCTATAAAGCACTTGTTTTTCTATACTGTCTCATGGAGACAATGGAAATTCTGAATTCGCATAAAAAGTCCATTGTTGTTACTGTTGCATTTTGTGAATCCGTCTGGCCCTGTGGGCACCTCATGACTGAAATCTATGAATCCCAAATAGACAAGTCACCCAGAATGTGTCTAAAAGCTGTTATAAAACCATACGAAAAATGACAGCACACACTCTCCAATGAATACAAATTCAAACAACATCACAACATGTAAACAGAAACTTGTTCCATGTGCAGTATTATATTTGAATCTCCATTATTTCCTGAGGCAGTTAAACAGGTTGAGAGGAGAGATATCAACACACCTGCAGCCAGCAGGCTGCCGAGAGCAGACAGACAAACAGAAGGTGGTATTTTTAGCAGGAATTATCACAGAGAATAGGAGACCTCAAATAAAATCTTATTCGTCACATCAAATCAAATCAAATTGTATTTGTCACAAGTGCCGAATACAACAGCTGTAGACCTGACCGTGAAATGCTTACTTACAAGCCCTTAACCAACAATACAGTTTTAAGAAAAATAAGAGGTATGAAAAATAGTTATTAAATAAACTAAAGTAAAAAATTTAAGAGCAACAATGAAATAACAATAACGAGGCTATATACAGGTACCGGTACTGAGTCAATGTGCGGGGGGTACAGGTTAGTTGAGGTAATTGAGGTAATATGTACATGTAGGTAGGGGTAAAGTGACTATGCATAGATAATAGTTAATAAACAGCAAGTAGCAGCAGTGTAAAAAAAAAGGTCTGGGGCTAACCCCTTAGTTCCAGTGAAGGGAAATCGTAACACTACAGCATACAATGACATTCTAGACGATTCTGTGCTTCTAACTTTGTGGCAACAGTTTGGGGAAGGCCCTTTCCTGTTTTAGCATGACAATGCCCCGTGCACAAAGTGAGGTTCATACAGAAATGGTTTGTCGAGATTGGTGTTTAAGAACTTGACTGGCCTGCACAGAGGTTGTTTATAGCAGCAAAGGGGGGACCAACTCCATATTAATGCCCATGATTTTGGAATGAGATGTTCGACGTGCAGGTGTCCACATACTTTTGGTCATATAGTGTATGTCTAAAGATGTTAGGTAAAGTGGGACTTTTTGTATCAACCTATGTGACATCAAAGAGGTCCAACCAACTTTCTGGTAGAGAATGCAGTGATGAGTACTAAAAGTGTCGCCCATAATAAAGCGCAGTGCGCTATGATAAACTGCATCTAACGGCTTAAATGAATTGGCACTTCATATAGATGATGTCGCCATAGTCTTGGACTGATAGGTACATCTACTGAATTATCTGCTTTCTACTTCTATAGAAGAACACCATTTTTATTCTCAGCTTCTTAACTCATCAATATGCTTTTAAAAGACAGCTTTTCATCCATCCAGATACCCAGATATTTGTAAGCAGGGACATGATCAATATGGACACCATCCAAAGTACATATGCTTAAATCAGTAATTTTTATGCACTTTTTAACCTGCATTCAATACTAATTTCAGGTCAGTAAAGTTTTTTTGTAATACAATGAAGGCAGACTGTAGTTCAGATAGATCCTGGTCAACAATGGAGGCAATAGCACACACAACAGTATCATCGGCATACAAGTGCAGGTTAACATTTTTTACAGACAACTCAATATTGTTAATGTAAACAGTAAGAAGTGCTGGACCCAGAATCGACCCCTGCAAGACACCTTTCATAATATCCAGGAAACCTGATTTAACACCATCAGTAGATACACATTGAGTTCTATCTGTGAAGTCATTTTTAAACATGTTTCATGCAGCCTGGTCAGGGCAAATTGAGGAAAGCCTTTGAATTAGCAGTCAGTGATCAACCGTTTAGAAAACCTATGACAGGTCAATGAAGAGGGCAGCACAATGTTGCCTTTTAACCATAGAGTTAACCACATCATTTATAACTAGAGATGAAGCATAGATGGTACTATGACCTGGTCTAAAATCCGACAGATGTACACTACCGGTCAAAAGTTTTAGAACACCTACTCATTCAAGGGTTTTTCTTTATTTTTACTATTTTCTACATTGTGGGGAGGGGGGGGTCAATGCAATTAGTCCGGGTAGCTATTTGATTAGCTGTTCAGCAGTCTTATGGCTTGGCCTTAAGGCTATGGCCTTTTGGACCTAGACTTGGCGCTCCGGTACCGCTTGCCATGTAGTAGCAGAGAGAACAGTCTATGACTTGGGTGGCTGGTGTCTTTTCCTCACCATTTTTAGGGCATTCCTCTGACACCGCCTGATATAGAGGTCCTGGATGGCAGGAAGCTTGGCCCCAGTGATGTACTGGGCTGTACGCACTACCCTCTGTAGCGCCTTGCGGTCAGGGGCCGAGCAGTTGCCATACAAGGCGGTGATGCAACCAGTCAGGATGCTCTCGATGGTACATCTGTATAACTTTTTGAGGATTTGAGGACCCTGCTCCATTACAGCCTGTCAATGAGAATGGGGGCGTGCTCGGCCCTCCTTTTCCTGTAGTCCACGATCATCTCCTTTGTCTTGCTCACGTTGAGGGAGAGATTGTTGTCCTGGCACCACACTTCCAGGTCTCTGACCTCCTCCCATGATTTATAAACAGGTGTAGACTAACAGTGAAATGCTTACTAACAGGCCCTTCACAACAATGAAGAGAGAAATAAAATAGAGAAATAATAGAAAAGTAAAACACGTAATAATAAATACACAATGAGTAATGATAACTTGGCTATATACTTGGGGTACCAGTGCCGAGTTGATGTTCAGGGTTGCAAGGTAATTGAGGTATATACAGTACGTACAGTACATATAACAAGGAATAAAGTGACAGATAATAAACAGAAGCAGCAACGTTTGTGATGAGTAAAGAAAGTTAGCGCAAAAAGAGTGAATGCAGATAATCCGGGTAGCTATTAGGTTAACTATTTAACTAACTATTTGGCCGTTTTATGGCTTGGAGGTAGAAGCTGTTCAGGGTCCTGTTGGTTCCAGACTTGCTGCATCGGTACCGCTTGTCGTGCGGTAGCGGAGAGAACAGTCTATGCGTTGCTGGATAATTTCTAGGGCCTTCCTCTGACACCGCCTGGTATAGAGGTCCTGGATGGCAGGGAGCTTGGCCCCAGTGATTTATCTCACCCCCTAATTGGAGTGGATCCAGGGTGTCTGGGATGATGGTGTTGATGTGAGCCATGATCAGCCTTTCAAAGAATTTCATGGCTACAGATGTGAGTCCTACGGTGCGATAGTGATTTAGACAGGTTACCTTGGCATTCTTGGGCACAGGGACTATGGTGTTGTGCTTGAAACATGTAGGTATTACAGAATGGGTCAAGGAGAGGTTGAAAATGTCAGTGAAAACACTTGTCAGCTGATTACATTTACATTTTAGTCATTTAGCAGACGCTCTTATCCAGAGCGACTTACAGTTAGTGAATGCATACATGTTTTTTTGTTTGTTTTGGGGGGGTTTTCATACTGGCCCCCCATGGGAAACTAACCCACATCCCTGCCGGCCAAACCCTCCCCTACCTTGGACAACGCTGGACCAATTGTGCGCCACCCATGGGTCTCCCGGTCGCGGCCGGCTGCGACAGAGCCTGGACTCGAACCAGGATCTCTAGTGGCACAGCTAGCACTGCGATGCAGTGCCTTAGACCACTGCACCACTCTGAGTACTCATCTTGGTGATCCGTATGGCCATGCGGCCTTGTGAATGTTAACCTGTTTAAAGGTCTTACTCACATCGGCTACGGAGAGCGTGATCCCAAAGTCATCCGGAACAGCTAGTGCTCTCATTCAGGGTTCAGTGTTGCTTGCCTCGAAGCGAGCATTGAAGGCATTTAGCTCATCTGGTAGGCTTGCGTCACTGGGCAGCTCGCGGCTGGGTTTCCCTTTGTAATCCGTGATTGTTGCAAGCCCTGCCACATCCAACAAGCGTCAGAGCCGGAGTAGTAGGATTCGATCTTAGTCCTGTTTTGACGCTTTGCCTGTTTGATGGTTCGTCGTATGGCGTAGCAGGATTTCTTATAAGCGTCCAGATTAGTGTCCCACTCCTTGAAAGCAGCAGCTCTAGCCTTTAGCTCAGTGCGGATGTTGCCTGTAATCCATGGCTTCTGGTTGGGATATGTACGTAAGGTCACTGTGGGGACAACGTCGTCGATGCATCTCCAAAAGACACATTATCCAGTGCACTCTCTCTGACCCTGGGTTTTACCCAACTGTTAGCAGCTACCGTTTTTGTGGTTTTTGCTGCATGTCTCTGCCATTAAGGCTTTATTTCAGTGCTAGCCTAATGACCATCGGTCAGAGAAGGGGAGTGCAGTGCAAAAAGAATTGCCAACATGACATGGTATCCTCAGGTTCCACTAAACTTAACAAGGTTGTCTTTCATTTGCATTGCTGAAAATCCATCCTGTTTCTTTGTATTTCCTGTATGTGTCAAGAGTCACGAATTGCTGAACAAATTACGAAGGCATTAGAGGCATTATACTAAGCATGTGCATAATGGCACCATTTCTGATTGGCGGATGGCTGCTAAGGAAGGGCAATTAAATTGATTAATCAGCATCACCACAGATAATGCTCTATATTTAGCAGCAGGAGGATATCCATTCATTATTATTACCGGTAATGTGTGAGTGTGAGGTAGCTAGACATCTCCTCCACAGACATTGTTACCCCACCCTTACTGAATATTCATTATGACTCCTAGAGAGAGAATCAGTAGTACTATTAGAGTTGATAAAACATGTTCCCAAGCCTTTTGATTTAATTGGCAACCATGATGATACTGTAATGTAAACATAGATCACAAGCTCCCCCTAGTGCTAGAATTGGACACATACAATGACTGTACAATCAAAACAAAACAATGATAGCCTAGAGACAGTATAGTTGTTGATTTGTGTTGAACTTATCTTTCCTTAGCCTCTAGTCCCTTATCCCTGTACCCAAGAGTAGAAGTTCATTTTCTGCCTTCCATCTGTGTTTGCAGGTTGGAGTCCCAGATGACATCAGATATTCAGACCATCCTGCAGCTCCTGCAGAGGCAGTCTACCCTGGGACCTCCTGCCTATAGCACTGTGACTGCCAGTCCAGACTATCAAAGGCCTGCTGTTAGGGTTCAGCCAATCGCTGCTTTGACCAGCAGCCATTGCTTCAGCCATTCATCATCACAAGTTCGTACTGAACTGTTGATTTCCACAGAACAAACAGACAATGGAAATCAAGGACCAAGACTTTTAAAAAATGGAATGGAGATCATATTTGAAAAGTGATGACTGACTCCAAGAGTTCTGAGATACTTTCTAATGGCGGAAGCACACTCTTATGTTGAAATGTGTGTGTGTTTGCTGTTATTTATTTTACATGATCAGAGTCCTGAACTTAACTTGGAGAGGAGGCATCAGGAATTCAAAGACTCAGTGTCAGGCTTGGCTTATATTAATGATTCACCCAGAGAGGACAGCATTACAGTACTGCTTGTACAAAGACACACACACAACAAACCCAACACAGGATATCAGCATTCCAAATCTCTTTCTTCCTATTGAGGACACATCCTCTCCCAACACAGGGCTCCATGGACCAGTCTCAGACCCAGGACCTCCAAGGCCATAGAGCTAGATCTCTCCTTTCTGTTTGCCTGTCTTCTCTCTCTGAAGTGTGACTCAGGGTTTCATTGACTATTTATTGCATTGCAATATTTGACGTATCTTGTAGTTGTCCTCCTGAAATGATGTGCATTATTAATTATGTACATGGACACCCTTGATGTTACACTGCCAGCAACACAGACACCATATATGCTTGTCTAGGTAGATAGGCTAATGTGCATGACTGGGAGTGTTATTGTTGCATGGTAGCTTTGAGGCATACCTCTGACAACCAAGTGTGATGTTGGCATGTTCACAAGGCAGTACATTTGTTTTCACCTTGGTATGTTAAACAATTTTGCACTGCTTATTTGAAAGTAGCATACAATATGCTGTATGATAACGGCATTGTCCATATACTTCTGACATTTTTGTTTGAGATTAGTTTTACTAAATTATTATGCATACATAGTATTACAGTGCCTTGCATAAGTATTCACCCAACCCCCCCCCCTTAGACTTTTCCACATTTTATTGTGTTACAACCTGGAATAGATTTTTGGGGGTCAATGATCTACACAAAATAGTCCATAATGTCGAAGTGGGAAATAAAACGGAAAAGTCGTGATTGCATAAGTATTCACCCCCTTTGCTGTGACACCCCTAAATAAGCTCTGGTGTTATAAAAAAATAACCCAAACTTTGAGCGCTGTTAAATTCATTATAAAAAAGGAAAAGAATATGGCACAACCGCAATAATGAAGGCCGTCCACCAAAACTCAGTGACCGGGTAAGGAGGGCATTAGTCAGAGAAGCAACCAAGAGGCCAATGGTAACGCTGAAGGAGCTGGAGAGATCCACAGCTGAGATGGGAGAAACCGTCCATGGGACAGCTATCACCGGGATGCTTCACAAAGCTGGGCTTCATGGAAGAGTGGCGAGAAGAAAGGCATTGCTGAAAAAAACCCATATCAAATCCCGTTTGGTAGACACAGCAAACATGTTGAAAAAGGTTCTTAAACTTTTTGGCCTAATGTGTGGCGTAAAGCCAACACTGCTCATTGCCCCCACGGTGAAGCATAGTGGTGGCAGCATCATGTTATGGGGATGCTTTTCATTGTCAGGGACTGGGAAACTGGTCAGGATTGAAGGCAAGATGGATGGAGCCAAATAAAGGGAAATTCTAGAGGAAAACCTGTTTCAGTCTGCAAAAGACCTGGGACTGGGGCAGAGGTTCACCTTCCAGCAGGACAATGACCCTAAACACACAGCCAAAGCTACACTGGAGTGGTTTCAAAAAACTACCTGAATATCTTAGAATGGCCCAGGCAAAGCCCAGACCTCAATCCGATTAAGAATCTGTGGCAAGACTTGAAAATTGCTGTTCAACAACAGTCCCCATCCAACTTGACAGATCTTGAGCAATTTTTCCAAGAAGAATGGGAAGAAATTGCAAGATCCAGATGTGCAAAGCTCGTAAAGACTTACCCCAAGAGACTGCAGCTGTAATTGCTGCCAATAGTGCTTCTACCAAGTATTGACTCAGGGGGGTGAATACTTGTGCAACCAACAAATGTCTTTTTTTTATTATTATTAATTTTTGTGTCACAAAAAAACATTTTGGACCTTCAAAGTGTTATGTTGTGTACATCATATGGTAAAAATCCCAATTAAATTCAATTTTCAAATTCAACAAAATGTGGAAAAGTCCAAGGGGGGTGAATACTTATGCAAGGCACTGTACATGTTATGTAACACATGGAATATAATCAATAGGCACACGAGATATAGATGGGGTATTGTGCCTATAACTAAATCCAAATATCAAATCAGTATCTTTAGGTAGCCTAAATACTGCTCATTCTCATCAACAAAATCACATTGTTTCCCAATGTATTCTGTTATCATAGACATTGATATAACATCTTATATCTGCACATTAATATAACATCTTATAGGAAAGAGATGTAAAAAAAAATATGTATTTATATTTATTAAGGAATATACTGTATTATTAAAGGATGGGGTGCAATTGAAATGTTAGTGTTAGGTAGCATATGTTTTTCTTGAAGCTATGGGAGCAATAAAATAATAATAATAATATGCCATTTAGCAGACGCTTTTATCCAAAGCGACTTACAGTCTTGCGTGCATACATTTTTGTGTATGGGTGGTCCCGGGGATCGAACCCACTACCCTGGCGTTACGAGCGCCGTGCTCTACCAGCTGAGCTACAGAGGACCACAAAATGAAAACAAACATTTAGGCTACTTTTGAAGAACTTCCAAATGGCTGACCTTTTTTCTACAAAGATTTGTCTACCATATCTTTTCGTGGGGAACTGTTTTGCACTAAAGGCTGCTTGAATACTCAGCAGTGCAATTATTTTGTCTCATGCATGCATTTAGAATCCATTACATTATCAATGCATTACAAATGCCCTTGCTTTATCTTCAATTTAAAGTCATGAAGACGAGACAGTATAACGTGCATGTCCAAAGAACTCAAACGTTCAAGCAGTGGAAGGATTTTGGATCCATGATTACTGTATTATAATGATAGAATGAGTGTGTCACAGAAGTCCATTCCCAAGTAAAGACACATACCCGAGCAACAGGCAGTACACATATGGTCACATGAATCCAACTAATTTACATGGATTCTGTCAGCTGTCACCTTTATGAACATTCCCTGAAGCGAGTAGCCTAGCTATTGTATTGTATGGCAAGTAAATACGTGGTAAAGGCCTTAGTAAGCTTTTGCGTAAATTGGCCGGATTCACACAAACTAAAGGGATAGGGAAACATTAATTTACTGGTCTAGATTTTCACTTATGTATTTGTTGCATTTTCAACATTTGGCACTTTTTACACTCCACTAAATATCATTGGAATGTTTCTGCTCTAAAGGGATTACAGATAAAATGTATAGAATACAATTGATTTAGTTAATTACCTTGTCTATTTTATGGAATAAAAAGTATATTGAATACAATTTAAAGTGTACCAAGTCTTTTATATATATATTTTTCATGGATTGTCATCATCAATGCACATCAACCGTCCTGTACAGCTAATGAACAGGAATTCAGAACATATTGCAATGTATTTTTCTAGGAACTCACAGGTAGGCCTTATTTGGCAAAACAACGACCAAAAGGCCTGCAACATAAAAGCCAGGGAACTATTTATTGGACAGGACAGATGTTTCAATACAATCAATGGAGACTGAAGCTAGCCTAGTTCTAGAGAACCCAAGGGGGCCCACAGCTGTCCCCCTTTTGGGTGCCCAGCTGAACATATGGATCACAGCTGGCTCCATGTAAACTACAATCCCGACGCTCTGTTTTAACGTTAACAATAATCCTCACTTGCAATACGGTTATGGAAACATTTGGAACATAACTTTCATACCAGCGAGAAATTATCTTTCAAATACAAAAGATACACTTACTGTGCGCAGTTTAGCAATGTTGCACCCGGCTGATTTCAGACACCGCCTCCAGCCGAGGTAGGCATAATACATCCTCTCACCTTGCACAATCCCATTCGACATTTTCGTGTTTTTTTTTTAAATACAGCCGGGTGCAACTTTGCTAAACTGGGTACAGTAAGTGTATCTTTCAAATTAGAACAATTATTTATTGCTTATGTGAATGTTAAGTTCCAAATATTTCCAAAATTGTATCGCGTGTGAGTCGTATTTGCACTTTGACAGAGCATTTGGCCAGCGTCGGGGCATTTGCCTCAGGCAGTATAGCTATGTGAAATGACCCAATGTAATGCAATGGCATTGGAGTCACTGTGCAAATCAAAAGGACCGAGATATCAAACGTTTCTGTTATTTTAAAAGTAGACTCAGCGAAATTACGTTGCTACGAGCAGCACCGCAGATATTGCGATGAGTAAGACTTCGCTCCCACACAGTATCTCTGCGTATGCATACATGTGTTCGCTTCACGCTGGTGGAATTCAGCCTTGCACCTCTATGCCCTTAGTTGTTGCGGAAATTGACCCACTATGCTGTTTACTTTGTGTACCTGTGTCATATCGCTGAGTCTACATTTAAGAACAGACAGGTAACAAAAATAAATACACGTTTAAAATGCTAAAAACCTTCCTCTTCAAACAAAATGCAAGCTCAAGGAGTTCAAACAATCAAGAACAGGTGTGTGGCCAATTAACTTAAAATGGCCAACACCAGCCCTGCACAGTTAAAGGCCCCCACCAGAGGACAATGCCACCCCTATTTTGAAGTAATTCCTGTCCTATAGCAGAAATTGTCCTTTTGTTCCACCTCCAAAGAATGATGCAGGCTGCTAATACATATTCATGAATTGGGGGTGGGAACATTGCGGGTGATTTCCACATAGAGTAAGAAAAATAACAACCAAAGACAGTACAGTATGACTATGGGCTAAAACTGCTTCTCCAGTAGAAATCCCGATCACACTTGTAGGTGATGTCATGGCGATGTCATGGCTAAGCTTATGCGTAGAACACGTAATCGGGTCTAACGGTCATCTTCCGCCAAACTGCTCATGTGTAGGCCGTCAAATCAAAGGCACTCCTTCAATATAAAGTTGTTTTTGCCGAAAATGAAAATGTTTCAGTTTTGAGGTTGGAGTAATAACATGTTCAACTATTTAAACTTCAGCCTGGTCTGTTAGCTCTGTTTTGCAAGCGTTCCCGGACATCTCGGATGTTGCTGTCAGTGTCCTAGGCGGGCAGGAAAAAAAGGAAGAAAGTGGAACATATTAAGCGTAAATATGGAGTGCTGCAGAAGGAAATGTAACATGATGAGAGTAAGGATGAATGAACTGCGGTGGCAGGTGCGGTGAAGACCGCTGAGTTTGAGCCTCGTCCCGATGGTGATAAAGATGTTTTTTG